GGGGACGCGGCGGGGCTCGACCCGCGCGCGGTGGAGAACGGGGACGCGGACGACCCGTCCTTCAGCGACCCCGAGGACTTCGTGGACGACGTGGGCGAGGAAGGTGCGTGCTGGCCCTGCCCGCGCGCTGCGTGTCCGCTCGCCCCGCCGTCCTCTTCCTCCAAACCCCGCGGCTGGAGGGTCTCTCCCTGCGGTCCGCCCTCCTTGTCATCTCGACCCCTCCCCGGGCCGATGCGGCCCTTCTGAGCGCACGTGGCGGCCTGTGCGGGGGCTTGGTCACTCGAGGTCAGTCTGTCGTTGAGCGCAGGGGCTCAGTCCAGGTCCAGGGACACGGCCCCTTCGGTCTTGGTCAGCGCCTTGAGTCTGGTCGCTCTGTTGAGGCGCAGGTTGGCGTTGCAGATGGCTTAGGGCCGATCGGTGTGTCCGCGGGTGGCCGGAGCCGTCCATCTGTGTCCACAGCCCCGAGTGGTTGTCAACAAGCCCTGCAGGTTTTTGTTGGTTTTTTAAGAAGGGGTCGTGGGTGGGGAGGTAGGAGAAGCCTCTCAGGGAGGGAAGTGGTCATCTGAGTCCCAGCCAGGCCGGCCGGATGGGCAGCTGGCAGCATGCACGCGCAGGGCTGTGTCCTGTGCCCACTGAGGTCAGCGTGTGGACCTCGGGCACAGCGAGCGCCCTCCACCCCCGCAGTTTGCATCTGGGGGTCCCAGGCTGACTTGTAGGGACCAGTGGACACGTCCCAGGAACTGGAAGCGCAGGTCATAGCACCGCTGGATCGTCCTGTTTCTTTGGTCTGGACAGATCTTTGGCAGGATGTCATTCAGACTCATAGTGACCCTGTCGGACAGAGAGAACGGGCAGGGCTTCCCGGGCTGTGAGCGCTGCAGAAGCCGCTGGGCTGAGAGCCCTGTCCTGTTTAGGACAGTGTGCAGACCACCTGGTCATAGGGCGTCTGCACCTGCTTGACTCAGTGCACTTGACAGCGGCCGTGCTGGTTAGGTGCTTTCACACCTGGAACAGCTCCTCTGGGGAAGCCAGGTAGTCGGCTCTGGTGGTCATGGTGGCCTGGAAAGCCCTCTGGGGCAGGGCACCTCGTCGCTGTTGGTGAACTTGGGGCCCACCTCAAGCAGCTGTTTCTAGCACTCTCTCCATCAGTCCACACTCTATTACCTGTTACGTGTATTTCACCAGCCAGCGAAGCGTGGGCTCCCCGATGGCATCCAAGCCCTTGCCCAGGGGACCTACTTTGTACCGCTTGGTGGAGAGGTGACCGCTGGAATGCCTGCAGACCCTCTGCCCAGGGCGGAGTCCTCTTGGTCTCTGGATTTCTTGGGTTCAAAGTGAAGGCACGTGGGTTCTGTCTCAGGTATAGACTAAAGCACTGTGAGATTTAACAGCTCGTTTATAGCAAGTGGATTGCCAGGACTTTCTTCCAGGGCACCTCTGGGTGGCCTTTCACTTAGCAGAACATGCCTGATGTTCACACCACCCGTTTCTGGAGTAGGATTCCCCCCCTATCCATTTTAAGATGGTTCACGCTGTAGTTCATAGAGTCACTGAGTCGTAGTTGACTTGATAGTTTGTAATAATAAGCCCAGTGAATTCATCAAAGATTTCTGACCCACTGATCACCCTCGTGAGCAGGCAGCTGGCCTGGGGTCTGCCGAGGGGCCTCTGGGAGCTGATGTGAACCTGCTGTGTCTGAGGCGCCCGGGCCTGGGGACAGGCTCAGGGTGCTGTCACAGGTCCTTTCGTGTGGACAGTGGTCACACAGCTCAATGGGGTCAGGGTAAGATTGCTGGTCCTGTGGACAGCAGACCCTGTGTGGTGAGGGAGCCCCACTGACAGCTGGCCACCTGGTCTTCCTTGGTGTCCAGGGACAGGTGTGCAGGGACCTGTTCACCTGCAACCTCCCGTCTGAGTTCCTCCCACTCCCCTGCTGTGTGGGTCCTGCCTCCACAGAGCTTCTCATGGGCTCACTGGTAGCACTCGTCCTCCAGCGCTGATGGCTGTGCCTTGGGACACTTGTGCTTTTCCTGAGCCAGCTCAGCAGGCCGTTGGCAGCTGCCTGGCGCCGGCGTGGATGGGAGAAGCGGGCTCTTCCCTGTGTGGCTATGGGATTTACTGCCGATCTTGTCTGGGCAGTTCTTAGCAGACGCTCAGGGCTCGTGGAGGAGTCCAGCGTGTACAAGCTGAGTGTTTCAGGATGAGCCTTGTAAACTCCAGGCAGGTTTAGCTGGCCCTTTGATTAGAGAGTGCGTGGCTTTCAGAGTAACCCCATGGTGGACTGGGCTGAAGTGGTGGGATGGCCCCTCTCCCTCTGTGCCAGACACACACACACACACACAACACACACACATGTTTTCCTCCTCCTTCAGGGGTCTCGGTTTTGTTGTTAAGTGCCATGTTGTCGATGACTCAGTGACACTGTGACCCGTGGGCTTGGACACTGCCTTGACCATAGCCCTATGCTCAGCCCCTTATTCACTGTGTCAGCCCACCCTGTAGAGGGTCTCCCAGCTTTACTCTCTCACGCACAGGTCTTACGTGATACGTTTTCAGTACTCACAACTATGTTAGGGTTCATTAGAAAGCATTTGTAACAAGGCTTGTCTCCAGAAATCCGAGGTTTTGTTGCCAGATACATCAAGAGTAGAGAACAAGTTCCTCTCCCGTGACGTGTGAGAGTCAGGTACACTGAAGGATGCTCTTCGACGCCTGTCACGTCCAGCAGGTTGGATGCAGAGTGTGCTGCCAGACACGCCGACGTGTGCAGCGAGCGGGCACCTTCAGCCCTCGCTTGCACATCCCTCTCGTGCTGCCATGCGCCTCACAGGTGCTGTCACAGCTTTGTTAGACTGCCAACCCAGGAGCCCTGGTGGCACAGCAGATTACGTTTTAGCTGCTAACCGAAAGTTTTGCAGTTCAAACCCATCATCTCCATCTTATTTTAGACAAGCTCACTCACTTAACAGAATTTCTCTTACAGAGATGGGCCTTGCTGCATTTCCCCCGTGCTCTGTGTTCCCTCTTCCGCTGCTTATCTCCAGCTGCCCACTGCTCTGGGTGACAGGGCATGAGGCCTGGCCCCAACCTCCCACGGCCATGTGTGTGGGCACTGCCCAGACAGCAGGGACATAGGCCCTGCCCCACAGCAGCATGGCTCCCTTCCACTTGTAGGCCTGTTCCTCTCATCTGTTTCTTTATCTTGACCTTATTTAAATCAACAGTCTTCTGGAAGTAGTTACAAGAAGTTTAGGTGCTTTGTGAATCGAGTTTTGGGTTCTGTGGTCTTAGATCTAAAGGTGGATGAACCGAGTGTGTGCGTATCGAGTGCTGAGCGGAGTAAGGAAGCACTTGGTTGTGCACGTCCCTCCACTGTCTGCAGGTCCCTGTCCCGGTGAGCGGCTGCTTCAGACCTCCGCTGTAAGATGCCCCAGTGGTCCGTGCCGCTAAGAAAGGGGTGGCTCTGCTGTGTAAACCGGGAGCCCTGCCCACAGCGCTGTGGGCTCGGGTCTCCCCTCGGTCGCCGTAACTCCCTGGTGTTCCGCAGGGCACTTCGCTTTGCCTTGATGACAGTCATCAAGGAGGGTGGTTGGTAGCGTATCTGGCAGGTGCCTTCTACAGAGGATTCTGGGTAACTCCTTGCTTGTGGCTGGAGACCCCGTGGCACGGTGCTTGGAGAATTTGCTCACCAAGTATCTGCACAGGGCGGAGATGAGGTGGTGTCCTGCATCCTCTCCCAGCCTTGGAATCCCGGTGGGGCAGCTCTGTTCTGTGACAGGGCCACTGGGGATCGGTCAGTGGGCAGGAGCGGGCTGCTCTCACTGGAGGGAGAGCCCACACATGGTGTTCTCACCCTCGTACGGGTCTCTCTCCTGTTCTAGCTGGTTCACCTGTCAGAAGAAGGTGAGGCGCGGGGGTGGGGGCGACGGAGTGTCCTGGGCGCCTTTCTCTTCCCTCAAATCCGTTGCCGTCCCTGTTCACCTAAGAGCCGCTTTCCTTTCTGCATGGTCCCTGCACAGGCTTCCGTCCCTTTCCTGACTTGAACATCAGCCCCGTGAGCTGGGCTGTGGTGTCAGTGACAGTCCTGTCTCTGCAGAGTTACTGGGCGATGTCCTCAAAGACCGGCCGCAGGAGGCAGATGGCATCGACTCGGTGATCGTGGTGGACAACGTGCCTCAGGTGGGACCGGACCGACTTGAGAAACTCAAGAACGTCATTCACAAGATCTTTTCCAAGTTTGGGAAGATCACAAATGACTTTTACCCCGAAGAAGACGGGAAGACAAAGGGGTGAGTAGTGCTCCCCCAGACCTAGAGCGAAGAGCTGCTTGAATTTCTCTGGGCATCCGATGGGAAGTGGGATTCTCCGGGGACCCGGCGTGTTGGGAGGTCGCTGGACGTGTCTGACCCGGGGAGGTTACGAGTGGTTTTGATATGTCATGTGGCCGTTGTGTCTGTTTCTGGCACAGCTGTGTAGCTGACAGAAATTTCCCACTGGCCATGATTTTTCGTGGGCTGGCTGTCCTGACGCTGTCCCTCGTTCCCGGGGTCCTGAGGCAGGAGGAATGGGGTAGTGGTGTGGTTTTTACACAGTGTCTGCTGACAAATCAGAGACTCATGTTAAATCTGCTACAGAGCTGTTTGGGGTCCCAGAAACGCCCAGGATCAAGGCTCCTTTGGGCTGTGTCTGTCCCCCCATGGAACCACGGCCACGGTCAGGAGAGCGAATGTTTGGTTCCTCAGCTCTTCTGTGGTTTCTGACGTAGTTGGAGCCATGACCATCTAGGGTTTCCCGGAACTGCCATGCTAGTGTTTTGTGCCCTGTTTCCTCAGGAAGGTGGGGAGCGATGAGTCGGGGTGTCTGTGTGCGGAGCCGGGCGAGGGTCCCTCTGAGGCTGTGTGGGCTAGCCCCAGCGCACTGTCACTGTGCCCCTGCCCTCACACAGGTACACCTTCCTTGCAGGTACATCTTCCTGGAGTACGCATCTCCCGCCCACGCCCTGGACGCCGTGAAGAATGCCGACGGCTACAAGCTGGACAAGCAGCATACGTTCAGGGTCAACCTCTTCACTGATTTCGACAAGTGAGTTCCGACTGGGCCCCAAAGGGTCGGACCCTACGTCCTGAGGGCCCAGCATGTCCTCCTGTGGTGCAGAGTTGACATGTCCGAGGCCCACTCTCCTCACCCTCTGCCCAGTCGGAGCACATCTTCTATCTCCTGCAGGGCGGGGGCTGGGGGAGCTCCTGGTCACACCGACATGGTCACTCCCTTGACCATTCATTCTGTCACTGTGACTGTCACGGTACCAGTACTCGTTTCTTTTTCCAGGTATATGACCATCAGTGATGAGTGGGACATCCCGGAGAAGCAGCCCTTCAAAGACCTGGTATGTTGTCAGGGTGGCTTCTGATGCGTTGGGAGTGGTGTGGTCCTAGCCAGGCTGTGCGTCCCTGGGGCCCGACGTGCCGCCCTCCTTGCTGGGTCTCTGGAGCAGCGCTAGTGAGACGTGCTGTTCCTCGCTGTGCTCTCTGTAGGGGAATCTGCGCTATTGGCTCGAGGAGGCTGAATGCAGAGACCAGTACAGTGTGATTTTTGAGAGTGGGGACCGCACTTCCATCTTCTGGAATGATGTGAAGGACCCCGTCTCCATCGAGGAAAGGGCGGTGAGTCCCGCGCCCATCAGGGCCTTCTGCCTGAGTTCACATCGTGGGGCAAGTGGGCTTGTGGGAGGGCAGGTGGAATGCCACTGTCTACAAGAACAACTTGTGTGCTTTCCCAGCTTTAGTGAGCCCTGAGGCCCAGGCGAGGCTGGCGCCTCAGAGGAGGGAGGGTAGTCCTGGGCGGCAGAGGGCACTGATTGCCTGCTGGTCTCTGTGGTGGCCCCAGAGTGCTCCTTTAAAGCTGCCCTCACTGCCACATTGTGTGGATGGGGGTTTCCCTGCTCTGCTCACATGGGCACTCTCTCCATAGAGATGGACTGAGACCTACGTGCGCTGGTCCCCGAAGGGCACCTACCTGGCCACCTTCCACCAGAGGGGCATCGCGCTGTGGGGCGGAGAGAAGTTCAAGCAGATCCAGAGGTTCAGCCACCAGGGCGTCCAGCTTATAGATTTCTCACCTTGTGAAAGGTGAGCTCTGGGAAGAGGCGGGGCTTGGTCAGCCGCCACAGAGGACTCCTGAGCCGGAGGGAGCTTTGTCTTCTGGACGAGGGTCCTGCAGCCCTGCTGTGCTCCTCCTGGAGGCGTGTCCTCACCTCGGGAGCCAGCGGAGTCGGCCCCTTGACTCCTAGACACTAACTGTGCCTCCCCCAGCCTGTGAGTGTCCCCCAGCCTGTGAGTGTCCCCCAACCCTGTGTCGTCGTCAGCCATCCCCTTCATTGATCTTCCACTTCACTAATATTCGCTGGAGACTGTTTCCTTGTGATAACTTTCAAAATCCGTAAGACCCTGGTCACAGACATGCAAAGTACAGGAGGCGGTTTCTCCCAGCGTTGTGTCCGAGGAGTGTTCTGGCTGCGTTTCCTCTGAACATTGCTCTGGCAGTCTGCGGTGCACCAGTCTCGGCAGCTCAGCTCTGAGGCTTCAGTCCTTGGCCTTTCGTTGTCCACTGTCTGGTTCACTGTAAGAGCTGACTGAGTGTCCATGGCTTGGGTCAGGTGCCTCTTATCCTCGGGGACGTCTTTGCTCTTAGCGCATCGAGGACAGATTTGCGGTGCAGTGTGTCACGCGATTTCTGTCGATGCACGTGAAATGAAATTCTTGCCAACATTAAGGGGGAGATGGCTTGAACCCTAATCAGGACGCCAGAAGTGCCTCTCTGGGGCAAGATAGGGTGGCTGCCAGCTGCTTGTTATGGTGTCCTGCTTGTCTCCCCTCCTTTGTAAGGGACAGTCTGCTCTGAGCTTTGGGTTTCTGTTTGTTTTTTTACTTTGAACAAACAAAACAGCTGCCGTGGCTGTGAAATACCAGCAGGTGGTAAGTGGTTCTGGGGAGAAGCCCAGGCACCAGAGTCCTCATAGACTCCTGCTCGGTCTGAAGCTGTGTGTGACCAGTGATTCTCTCTCCCTTGTCCCGTGAGGATGGCCACTGAGGACACCTTTGCGGAGGGGGGTTGGCGTGGTCCTGGTTTTAGCAGACATTTGGGGGCAGCTCCCACAGCGCTCTGCTGAGAGAAGACGTCTCTTCTGCGTCCCCAGTGCGGCCTCCTGGTGTGACAGGCTAGCAGGCAGCCGCTGTGGAGACGGGCCTGGCTCCATGGCACAGTGCTGTCTGCTGGGGTCAGCTGTGACGCAGCAACAGTTAACAGCCAGTAGTGTTCTGAAGCTCGGTGCCTTGACTACAGTGGATCACGTGCCTGCCACGTCCATGGCCCATGCCCCTCAGCACAGTCACGCGGAGCTTGTCCCTTTCTCCCACAGGTACCTGGTGACCTTCAGCCCCCTCATGGACACCCAGGAAGACCCTCAGGCCATCATCATCTGGGACATCCTGACAGGCCACAAGAAGCGGGGCTTCCACTGTGAAAGCTCTGCCCACTGGCCCATTTTCAAGTGAGTGGACTTGAGATGGTCTCCTGTAGCCCTGTCCTGTTGCAAGGACAGCCCAGCAGCACCTCTGTCCTTTCAGGTGGAGCCATGATGGCAAATTCTTTGCCAGGATGACCCTCGATACCCTCAGCATCTACGAGACGCCAGTGAGTAGGGCAGGGGTCCCAGAACGCTCCTTCATCTGCAGCCGAGTCCTGGGGTGGGGACAGATCCAGCTCAGATGGCCAGGGGTCAGAGGGTGCATATCTTTGCAGAAATAGACTGGCTTATCATTCTCCCACAGGGTGGCTGGCGGCTTTGAACCTCAGACCTGCTGTTAGCAGCCAGTGTTTGCTGTCCACTAGTCCCAGGGGTCTTTTGGGCATTTAATAACTGTGTAGTAAAGGCACGTTTTTTGTGGCTTTTGCCTCTTCCTGCCCAGGGCTCTGCTCCTTCCCCTTGCTGGCCTCTTGTGTGGCCTGTTGTAAGACTTAGCACGAGTGGATGACATGAGTGGCAGGGTGTCTTCCTGTGGTCAGTGCCCGTCTGTCACTGTCCAGCCTGCCCTGCTGTGGGCAGGCCCAGGCAGTAATTGTGGGCCCTTTATGAAACCCCTGTGCCTTCCCTGGGCACGGCTGACTCGGTGTAACCTTCTCTCGGACAGTCGATGGGCCTTTTGGACAAGAAGAGTTTGAAGATCTCCGGGATAAAGTGAGTGACCTTGTGGAATCTGTGTGACATGGTTTTTATGTTCATAGACCTGAGATTGGGGGGTAGGGCCCTGGCTACTGCCAGTCACCAGCACACCCCCAGAGCACTTGACTTCTGCTTGCCGTGTCCCGAGTCCTGGACCAAATCTAACAAGGAGTCTCTGAATTAGAGTTGTTGGAGGGCAAAGGAGGGTGTGTTACTTCTCTCAAAACTAGTCCCATCTCTTGGCCAGAAGGCACCAGCCACTGACCCATCATCGGCATGGTCCTTACGCTGTCGATGTTTACACATTTGGGCAGAACCGTAGGCTGTGGGGCCCTGTGCAGAAGCGTTCCTAAAGCGTCACCGCACGACTCTTGTAGAAGGTGGATGGCCACGGGTGGGGTCCTTGTTCTCTGTCCTCCACTTGACCGTTGAGCTGGAGTGTTCCCCTCCGGCGCCTTGACTAACCTGAGGAAGTCGTCTCGTGTGGGGTCTGTTATATATGGAACTCTGGTGGTGGTGTTGATTGCCGGCGAGCTTAGCGCGACTCATAGCGACCCTGTGAGCAGAAGGCCTGAAGCCTTTCTGTAACAACAGAAATCAAAGTTCATAGACTTTCCAGAGGCATGTTGTTTAGACAGTGGATGTCACCCTTGCTTCCAAACCTGGTGGCTTAGTGGTAAAGAATTTTGCTGCCCGTGGAAAGGTGTGCAGTTTGAATCCACGGGAGAAAGAAGGGCAGTCTCCTCCCACGTCACTGCCTATTACAGCCCACTGGAGGGTCAGCCGTGCGTCTGTTCTAATGCCACTACTCGGCACACGGCAGCAGTCGTACGGGCCGGGTCTGCGTCCCTCCCCGGCTGCTGTTCACTCACCAGCACGGGTGGAATGAAGCCCGGGGTGCTCAGGCCGGGGCCAGCTGAACAAGCAGTGGCTCCTGCTGCTGCCCCGGGCCAGCGGGACAGCTTGTGTACGTTTGTGCTAAGAGACTGCCCAGCGGCCTTTGTGGGATGTGTGACCTTCACCTCTGCTCTGCAGGGACTTCTCTTGGTCTCCTGGTGGCAACATCATTGCCTTCTGGGTGCCCGAGGACAAGGACATCCCAGCCCGGGTGACTCTCATGCAGCTCCCCAGCCGACAGGAGATCCGGGTCAGGAATCTTTTCAATGTGGTGGACTGCAAGCTGCACTGGCAGAAAAACGGAGACTATTTGTGTGTCAAAGTGGACCGGACGCCCAAGGGGACCCAGGTGAGTGGCGCCCTGGCTGGGTGCATTAGCTGGACCAGACACTCTTGTGTACAAGGAAGCTGTTGGAATCAGCAGTGTGGTCACACGACGTCGGTTTGGCACGGGGACAGTGACAGTGCCCACATCCAGGCAGGCCGCTGCTTTCCCCTTCAGCTGACAGTTGAAACAGACCTGTTACTTCTGATTTCCTGTTTCAGTAGAAGAACGAGCACTTATCTCTGCACCTGGTTTTAGCTTTGTGTGCGATGCTTAATGTTCATCTTAGAGAATGTTGTTTAATCTTCTCCTGGTAGAATATTCCTCGGATTTTTTTTTTTTTAGCTCTTCTTAAAGTGCACTTTGGGGCTTTGAACAGCTTCCCAGAGCTGGGGGGCCACCACTCTTAGATTCCCTTCATCCCAAAGAAAAACTGGATCTCTCCGTAGTCACTCCTGCCACAGAATCTGATCTAACTCACGGCGACCCTGAGAACAGCAGGGCTTCCCCAGGGCTTTCCGAGGCTGTTGGTTTATAAGGAAGCCGATGCCGACTTGCACGGGGCGCCTGGTGGGAGTGAGCGCCGGGCGGCTGGCTGCCGAGCTGTAGGCACTGGGCCGCAGGGCTGCAGGTGTGTGTGGAGGGCCGAGCTGTCCTCCGTGGGCGGGCCACTCCGTCCCTGGTGGCAGGCATGCGAGGAGTCGGGGTGTGTGTGTGCCGCGAGCAGACACCCCAACAGCAGGAGAGCTGACGCAGGCACGCGCGTAGACACCCCAAGTGTGGCAGTGGGATTGCGGGTGAAGTCCTCGAGTCTGCCTCGGATGGATGAAGTCTCTCTCATCTGTGAATTAACAGAACGTCACGTGGCATCTTTTTTTAAACAGGGTGTCGTTACAAATTTTGAAATTTTCCGAATGCGAGAGAAGCAGGTCCCCGTCGATGTGGTGGAGATGAAAGGCAAGTGCCCTGCTGGGTCCTGTTGCCTTTGGCTTCTGGGGACGTCCCTGGGGACTCTGCACAGGGCTTCAGTCCAGCGTGGACTTGGCACCTTGTCACGAGGCCGCGGTTGGGTTCCATCCTTCCCTGCCTCTCTGCCCGGGAGACACCCCAGGCTTGATTTATCCAGTCCCACTGAGAACGAGCGTGCCGGGTGGGTTTCTTCACTCCGGCCGCAGCCGGCCTCGGGCGCAGCTGAACCCACGTGTGTGTGGCTGTTCCCAGGAGCGCGTATCTGTGCTGCTTCCTGGTGTCAGGTACTTGCTGTTTGCAGTAGCAGTTGTTTTTGAACAGAACACAGATTTTTGTCTTAAAAGCGAGTCAGTGTCCTGTGCCGTGTCCTGTGCCAGAGGCCCGTGGCTATGGGTCACAGACAGTTTGCTGCTGCGTGTCTGCCTGGGGTTTTATCCATTTGTCGCTTTGTTTGGGGGTGGCAGAGGAGGTCCAGAGAGCAGCAGGCTGTGGAGTCAGGCTGAAAGGACTTGCAGCCCCCCAGTGGAGGTCCATCCAAGTGATCTTGACTGGGAGAAAGGCCATGGTCGTCAGCACTCAGCTGAGGGCAGGCCCGCGGGCTGGGGAGCCAGGCCCTCCCTTGTCGGCCCCCCTCAGCCACGAGGTGACTTTCCTCCTGTCACTGGGAGGGGACCGGTCTTGTTCCCGGTTTCCTGTCTGTAACTGCAGACAGCACTGACCGCCCCTGTGGCTTCCTACAGAGACCATCATCGCGTTCGCCTGGGAGCCCAACGGGAGCAAGTTTGCGGTGCTTCACGGGGAGGCGCCCCGCATCTCTGTGTCCTTCTACCACGTCAAGAGCAACGGGAAGATTGAGCTCATCAGTGAGTGGACGCCCGCAGCTGCCGGGGCCGGGCGGGGGGACAGCTGCTGAGACCCGCAGGGTGTCCTGATCGGCCGACCAGCGCAGTGTGCGAGGGTGAGGGGTGGACGGACGGTGTGGTGGACCTCACCTTGTCACGTGCCACTCAGGGCCCGACCAGCGCAGTGTGGGAGGGCGGGGGTGGACAGACAGTGTGATGGAGTGGACCTCACCTTGTCACGTGCCACTCAGGGCCCGACCAGCGCAGTGTGGGAGGGTGGGGGATGGACGGATGGGACGGTGGGTGGAGGGGTGGGTGGATGGTGTGGTGGAGTGGACCCCCTTTTGCTGTGAGAAGGCAGACAGCAGCCCAATAGCTTTTGTGGTGGCTGCTGGCTGCTCCTGGTGTCTGGAGGGAGACCTGCCTGTGGGGTTTCTGGGGTGCTGGCCCCATCACAGCACCCTCATGCCTGCCCTGCCCTGAGCCCTGAGTAGGCAGAGCCAGGAAACGGCCAGATGTCTAGCCTGTGTCTGCCGCCTTGGCTGAGACAACTTGTGGTCACTCAGGAAAGACCTGGGGGTCACGAGGAACAGGTCGTTGTGGTCCTGTGCTCGAGCGTCTGAGGCTGACCACCAGGGTCCTGTTGGAGTCTCTGGCGTCCGCTCTTCACTCCGTGCGGAGCTCCATTTACTCCTTGAGTGAAGGTGTTGGAAGCAGGGTCGGGGCTCACGTGACCCCTTGTCCTCTGCTCTTCATTTGAAAGGGTAGTTGGTAGCTTACCCAGCGACACCCACTCCTGTTGAGCTGATTGGGACACAGCGCCCTGGAGGACAGGGTGGAGCGGCCCCATGGGCTTAGCCCCACTTTCTCTTGGGGATTAGTTGACCTCCTGGCAGGGAGTTTTGGCCATGGGTTCTGGTGTGTTTATGGTGGGCGGCTGAGGTGTCCCGGGCTGTGCAGGAGTCTGGCTGAAGCCTCCAGAGCTGCCCTAGGGGCAGCACACACTCATGCCAGGTGTGGGGCCGCTCCCAGGGCACGACTGATGGCGTCTGTCCCCTTTCAGAGATGTTCGACAAGCAGCAAGCCAACACCATCTTCTGGAGTCCCCAAGGCCAATTTGTCGTGCTGGCTGGTCTGCGGAGGTGCGTGTCTGCTCTCTGTCCCCTGCCCCCGTCCTGGGCCGTGGGGTCTTCTGTCCTGTCTCTGCTGTGCTGGCCGTGGGCTTGGCCTCGGACCATGTCTCTGCCCCCATTCTGGGATGCGCGGCCTCTCTCCTGCTGGGCTGAGGACAAGCACGTCCCTGGTTCCAGGGCCACTTGGATGAACATGGTCACGCTGCGCTGGGTCCCAGGATTTAGGTTGAGCCCAGACCAGTGATAGCGATGGCCAGTGATGCTCTCTTAGCGTGGTTTGGAAGCTGTGTCCACACATCCTAACTCCCTCACGGGGAATGTCCTTTCACAGTCTGCTTAGCCTCATGTCTGCCTGGAGAGATTTAATTAGTGCAGGATGGACACGATGGTGGGCATGCCTGACCTCACATCATATCCCCCCCTTCCTGTGTAGTCACTGCTCCAGCAAGACAGACATTGTCATATGCACACTACACGTCTTCACTCAGCCACCCAGGGCCCTGTGACAGTGTCAGAGAGGCTGCTGGCCAGTGGTCACCTCACACCCCACTAGACTGCTGGGGAGTGGGCGCCTGGTGGAGCCAGGTCGGGAGAGCTTGTGTTGTCCCTGCAGCATGAACGGTGCCTTAGCCTTTGTGGACACATCTGACTGCACGGTGATGAACATTGCCGAGCACTACATGGCCTCCGACGTCGAGTGGGACCCCACGGGGCGCTACGTCATCACCTCCGTCTCCTGGTGGAGCCACAAGGTCAGCCTGGCATTCTGTGTCAGTGGGTGGCCAGGGGACGGGGCGGGCAGGGCACAGCACATGTTTCCCCCACCTGCACCCTCCGACACGTCTGTTTCACACGGACACACTCCCATCTCACACCTCTGTCCCTCCATGACAGGCACTTGGGAGTGCTGGTCTCTTAACGACTGAGAAAGGTGTTACAGGACCCACCTACCTATCTGGGGGTTCTTGTTACAGGCCAGTGATCGTCCATCCAGGCCCTGGTTAGCCCGTGGGCACCTCCTGGGAGACTCCTCCTTCACCTGTTACTGGCCCTGCTGAAACCTGCAGGGCGGAAGCAGGGCCTTTGTCCTGTCTCCCCCACACCTTGGACGTCAGATTGTTGACATCTGTCGACCGAACATGCCCGTGTGGAGAGCCCAGGCTCTCTTGTCTGGCCTTGCTGATGTGGTAACGTGTCCCTCCAGGTGGATAACGCTTACTGGCTGTGGACTTTCCAAGGCCGTCTCCTTCAGAAGAACAACAAAGACCGCTTCTGCCAGCTGCTGTGGCGGCCACGGCCTCCTACGCTCCTGAGCCAGGACCAGATAAAGGTGTGCAGGCTGGGGCGAGGGACACGGCGGTGAAAAGAAACAGGTCCTGTTGGCACTGGGGGCCACTGTGAGGGGACTACCCGAGAGGCCAGAGCAGGAGACACGGTCGCCATCTGAGACATAAGCTTTGCGGGGCCGAGTTTCCGAGGTTTTCCTGTTACAACTCGGTGTGGCAGTGGGCTTTGCGTAATGGTGTGCAGTAAGCTGCTGGTACCAGGCTGAGGAGAGGGAGGAGACCCAGGAGAGGCTGAAGTGCGGGTACAGCCCAACAGCTGAGGCCTGTGGAGGATCCGCACGCTCGCGTTCATGGTCAGGGGCCGGCTTCGAAGATGCTGTCTGTAGTTCTTGCTTTGAACACTTTCCTTCTCAATGACTTGTTTTCCTTTCAGCAAATTAAAAAGGATCTGAAGAAATACTCCAAGATCTTTGAGCAGAAGGATCGTTTGAGCCAGTCCAAAGCCTCAAAGGTGAACCCCATCAGCACAGCTGGGAGGGGACACAGGCAGCCCATGTGTTGGCTTTCGGGGGTGGCTGTGGCCAGCTGTTTGCTTTTGGTCATGCAGCCATGCTGACTGATGAGCTCAGTGTGTCATGCTAACATCTCCTGATGTAGGAATTGGTGGAGAGGAGAAGAACCATGATGGAGGACTTCCGGAAGTACCGGAAGATGGCTCAGGAGCTCTACATGGAGCAGAAGAACGAGAGGCTGGAGTTGCGAGGAGGTGAGAGGAAGCGCTGGGGTGGTCAGTGCGCACCCCCGGGGCCGAGAGGGCCTGGCTGGCTGCTGCCTGCAGCTCCACCCCTAGAAGATGAGGCTATCAGAGGGCTCACCGGGACCTTTCCAGGCTTTCTGGCCAACGTCAGGTGCTGTCGGCACTGGGAGCTTTGTGCCTGTGTGGGTGCATTCCTCCGTGTGCGCTGGTAACAGGAGCCCAAGTGTTGCCACGGGGAGGTCTCAGCTGCTGAGGGAAGGTCCACGCCCACCCTGTGGCTCCTGGGATGAAGACTTGTCACTGTAACGAGGACAGTCTTGCCATGCAGCCTGTCCCTCAAGGTCACTGTGAACACAGCAGTCACAGCGTCCCCGTCTTGTCTTGAAGGTGTGGACACTGATGAACTAGACAGCAACGTGGACGACTGGGAGGAGGAGACCATCGAGTTTTTTGTCACTGAAGAAATTATTCCCCTTGGAAATCAGGAGTGATTTGGAAGCACCATGGTAAGAGCGCCCTGTCCAGGCTGGGAATGGCCCTTGTCTTGTTCTGTCACCCTGTCACCAGGACGTCTGTCAGGCTGCCAAGGGAACGAGGCCTGTGGGGTTCATGACCTTCAGATCTAGGAGCTTCACCTCCCCATGCAGAACGTCTCCCCAAATGGAAGGAGTCTTGGCAGTGGACGCTGCCTGGGTGGTGTGGAGGCGTAGGGTTGGGGCTGACCAGCTCTGGCTCCAGTCCATTCTGAGAGCATCTGTGTCAGCTCAGTGTGGCTGGGAACTCGGCCACAGCTCCCGTGCTGGAGAAACGCGAGTGTCTGATCACAGCCATGCTCGTGGTTCGGGCTTGTCCTGCACACGGGTGGGAACTATACGGGCTGGAGCTCTGGGGTAGGGAGGTAACAGGGCCGGCCAGATGGACAGTGGTGGCCTGGTGTTGACCCCCGTGGTGACTTCCAGAGGCTGTGGTCCCCAGGCTGTGTCCTGAGCAGGGACGCCGTGGTGGCTCTGGTGTCATGGTTATAGTCATTCTTGTCGTTGCAGCGCCCCGGTCCCACTGAGTGGACTCTGGCCTCGCGCTCTGGCCCGGCACACCTGGACTCTCCATCTGGACACTCGTGCCTTCAGCCCCGTCCAGCCGGGGTGCTCTCGGCACTGCCCGCTCGCTCCTGTTCGGGCTTTGTTTTATTCCTCACCGCCAGTATTTGTTCCCTAGACTCGGCAGTACCAGGCAGGTGACCGCTCTCCTGCCCCAGTGCCCGCGGGCCGTGTCACCACCAGGAAGCACGTCTGTCACCTGGGCCCAGGTGTCCTTAGGAAAGGGCAGCGGGAGCGGGAGCTCACTGGCTCGGGCCATGCAGAGCTCAGCAGGCTGGACGCAGAATAAAGCAAACCTGTGTGAAAACCGTCTCTCTCCTCTTTACACAGAGTGGCCTCTATCACATGCCTCTTCTGTCAGTGCAGCCCCTTGTCCATCCACAGTGGTCTGAGAACCCAGCCCCTGTTGGTCCCGGGTCCTCTGTGAACACTGGTCACTGTGCCTCGTCCCGTTAGTGTTGTGTTGGTGCCTCTGCTGTGGGCTCCCCAAGTTCTCAGTGTCCATCCACTGGGGAGGGTGTGTCCACGGCACCGTCCACTGTGTGCACTGACTCTGGCCTGGAGTTGAGTTTACAGAGCCTAGCAGTGGCAAACCCAAGGGAGTTTTTATGTTTGCTGCAGAGCAGGGGGCAGGGGCCACCAAGCAGAGTGGGTCCCCCAGAACCCCTTCCTCTGTGGACAGGTCTGTGGTGCTGCTGTCTCCTCGCTGGCCTTAAACCGCCCTCTCCTGTGACCCCAGGACCCCTGCCTATGCCCTGCCCTCTCCTGCCTAGTTGGGCTCTGTCTGTGGTCCAGTCCTGCCTTTCTGTCCTTTTCCCGCTGTTCTGCCAGTTACCACTTGGTGGTATTCAATCCCTGGCTGTAACTGTTGCATCATTTGTAAATAAATGACTTTCTGAAACCCTCGGGTTTGCTTTGCTGAGGCATCCGCTGCAGGGGGTGGGGGTGGGGTCCTGGGCCATCTTGAGCCTGCAGGTCAACTTGGCACTCCACGTCCAGCCTGTCGCTAGCCCTGGCTCCTCTCCTGTCTTCAGGGATCAAGACTTTAACTAGGACCTGAAGCTTCCCAGAGGCAGGAGACCAAAGGGCTGGCAGTTCCAGGATGGTGAACGTGTTGTAAGGGGTCACTTGTTGAGGTGGTGTCTGTGCAGCTGAAGGTGCAGGTGCAGACAGTGGGCCTTTCTTTAGAAGGCATGGTGTCAGGGCCAGAGCGTCCAGGGCACTAAGGGACCAGTCGAGCTCTGGGGGGCTTGAGGGAGGAGCCTGCCGGCTGGGTTAACAGTACTCCATGTAACTACTCCACGGGCCTCCTTGTACGGACGGAGCTGGAACCCACTGCTGTGGAGCCAGGCTGACTTCGCCGGCCTAGCGGCAGTACGTCGCCTGACAAGCTCACCCATCTTTCTGCTGTGGGGCAGCTGCTGGTTCCGGAGCACAGCCTTTGGTTGGCCATCAGCGCTCCTGACCACCAGGGCTCACAGAGACGAGGTGGCCAGGAATGTGCGACACCTGCGGACAGGAGCCTGCTTCCTTTGTGCCTGCGGGGTGGAACTGCTCTGGATGGCTTTCATGGCCCGGGACCCCTCAGGTGGCTCTTGAGTGGTGACCCCCGGGTGGTTGGCATTGCCCAGGGATTTTAGTACCCAAATCACCATGCCTGAGAAACCCACAGCCACCCTTTTGGTTCTGACCTGGAGACCCTCCATGGGGTTTCTGAGGCATCTCCTCTGGAGAGAGGTGCCAGCAACACACGCAGTGGACTACCCTGAGCGCCTGGAGCACGTCACAGGACAGCAGGGCTTGACACTGGTGAAATCGGCCAGACCCAGCTAAGGATGTAAAATACGGTGCAGTGGAACGGTTCCGTGGAGGTGCGGGAGGTCGGGGCTCATACAGTGCCAAACCCCGAGGGCAGCAGAAAAGCCAAGGGCAGGGTCTGAGCAGTCCACACCTGGCCACTAACCCTTCAGCACAGTGCTTGGAGCCACTTCTAGAAGCCAGCCTGTGGCTTAAATGCATGGAGCCAGCAGGGGCCAGAGTTCACCATCACCACCACCAGCAGGACCTGGTCACAGGCCTCAGGACCAGACATCACTGTCAGCCCACATAATGCTGGTCTCTCTGGAGGACAGTGAAGATCAATTAGCCACAGCACCCGTGAAGCTGGAGCTCCTCAGGGTCCATGGCCCCCAGCGCTGACCGCTCTGGAAGGGCCCTCGGAAGTTGAGGAGTCGCCTGATTGCAGGACCCTGTCCTTGTGGTCACTGGTGCTTGAGCACACTGTCGCAGTGGTGTCCCTCCATCTCGCTGAGAGCCTGCCCAGTCAGACCACCAACTCCGAGCACGAGAGAGCCTTTTCCAGAGACTGACCTGCCTGAGGGTGCCCCCGGTGTGAGGAGTGTCACCCTCTCAGGGAGCACTGCACACCTTCACTGCATTTACTGATACTCTTGTCAGTGCAGTGTGTGTTTAGTATTAATTCGTCAAGACCACAATCAGGCTTGCTGGGCTGATGCAGACTGGAGCGGGCTCGGAGAGATGGCCCTGCTAGAGTCTCCGGTGAGCCTGGTGCTAAACTCCCCCCTTGGCACCCTAACAACAGGCCTACAGGGTGACCACCGATGCCAGGGAGGCACTCCACCCCTCAGGCTCACAGGGCAGCCCGTGTCCAGGGCTGAGCCCCAGAGGTTGGAAGAGCAAGGATGGAGGGACGGACATCGATGGGATTGTGTTCAGTGTCAACAAAATGTGAGTGGTTGAATGGAAACCAATCTGCTCTGCAAACATTCCCTCAAATCACAAGACTTGGAAGAAACAGGTGTGACTTCTGCAAGCCCACCTAGTGGCTGTCCTCTGAGAATTGTCCCCACATGCTGGCTTTGCTGGTAGCTGTGGCTGGCCCCTCCTGGGCGTGGCAGGAGAGGAGAGCAGACCCACCCCTCCTCCCCAGGCTCACCTGAGACCAGGTGAGCGCCCTGGAAACCTGGCAGGTTGCTGAGGGACTGGATGAGCTAGTCAGCCCAGGGTTGGAATGGTGCCCGGTGCACAGTCTCCCAGGTACCGTGCCACCAGAGGGGCTGCCTGGCAGCACTATAGTGCGAGCTGGGAGGACGGGGCCCTTCAACCAAGGAGCGTGGCTGACGTCACCTGGGCTGTCACTGCACTTCACCTGGAGAGCAGGGTGCACCCACCCCGGCCAGGCCATGCCATCCCCAGCCCGGGGCAGCCCGGCCATTCGGGAGGTCGCTGCCACTGAGCCCAAGGACCAGCAGCTCATGGTGAGTACCCTCCAGTGGGTCAGCTTCCTGGGTCCCCTGTAGCTTACCTTCTCTCTAAACCAGGGGACCCGTGCACCTCACCTCTTCTCATGGAGGACCGAGCCAGCCCCCGCTCACTCCACACACCATCTTCCGTGTGCTGGGTGGTGTGGCCATTCAACAAGCTTAACTACTGACCTGCAGGTGAGAGACTAGAGGTCACCAAGAGGCCCTCAGAAGAAAGACCTGAGGTTCCCTTGTGAAGAACCAGCCCCTGAAGCCATCGGGGACAGGCTCCTCTCTGACACACATGGGGTCCCCGTCAGTTGGAGGGGACAAATGTTTTCAGTTTCTCCTGTCTGCCTGGTCTGGCTCAGGCATTGTCTGTGGCTGAGGAATTTGGGGAACAGGTTAAACTCAGCTGGTGACCTTAGAACCACAGCCACTTCACTTGAGGGAGCTGCAGCCAGGACTTCCTGGACCCCCACGAAGGCTGGCTGGTTAGAGGTGGCCAGGACTGGCTGCAAAAGACTGGCTTGGTCCCGCAGCTTCTGAGCGGGCAGGGAGGACACAGCCTGAGGGGCCATCTGACCCCAAGGCCACTGGCCAGAGACCCCCCCAGAAGGTGTGCAGGTACAGAGGAGTGGAGACATGTAAGGGCAAAGTGTGGTAGCACAGATGCAGAAGTGTGCAGGTGTGTGCAGGCAGAGGCGTAGAGGTGTGCGGGTGTGGAAGTGTGCAGACAGCAGTGCAGATGTGTACAGGTGTGCAGATGTGCAGGTGCAGAGTTGCAAAGTGGTGGAGGTACCTCAGGCATGTGTCTGCTGCTCTCTGTGCCTCAGTCTCCCCATATGTCCAGCAGGGTTATGGTAATCCTGAAGAGGGCTAGAGTCTTCCATCAGTAGCCAGAAGCTTTCAGGAAGAGGGAGAGAGCTGAGTGGGGGTGCGCTGTTGGGGGGTCTTTAGACAACTGTTTCTCTGTCCACCCTTAGGTAGCCCTTCGGATCCGCCCACTGAAGGATGCGGAGCTGGAGGAAGGGGCCACCACCATTGCCCACAAAGTGGGAGACCAGGTGAGGTTGAGGAGGCCTTTCCGGGGGTGGTCCTGGCCCAGTGCCTCAAATCTGCTTGGTTCCAGGCAGACCCGTTTACCGCTGCTCCGTTGAACCTCCCGAACAATCCTTTCAGCAGGTTTTTTAATTAAAAACATGGACATTGTGTGGCCACGTTGCATCAAGCAAATCTGCCGGCACCCCTTTCTGAGAAGCATGCGCTCACCTTGTCCTTCTCACAATATTTCACACGTTTGCTTCTTGCTGTCCCCTTTTCAAGGGAGCTCTAGTGATCTAGCAAATAAGGAGTTCACTGCCAGTGCAAAGGCAGGCGTTCAAATCCACGAGCTGCTCGGGCAGAGAGCGGTGGACGGCCTTGTAGTTTACAGCCTCGGAGAGCCTGCTGGAGGGTCAGCTGGGAGTTGGTTCTGACTTGACGTAACAGCACAACAATCACAAATTCAGACCCCTTCAAGCCAAGCCCCCTGCCCTGATCCGAGTGTGACTGCCAGACCCCACTGGATCGCCAGAGCGGTGAATCTTTACAGGACTGGGCCCACCTTTCTCCGGAGGAGCGGAGGTGGGTTCAGACAGCTGTCCACTCAGTTAGCAGCCTGACTCCTAATGTGCTCGGCCACCAGGCCCCTCTCTTAAACAACATTGTCGTGTCTGCACCTGTAGCCATGGGAACCCTGGCACTTGTTTTGCCAGGAAGCGCGCTTTATTGCTGGGCCCTGGCTCTGAGCCTGTGGTGTCTCTGAGGTCTGCCTGACTCCCTCCCCCAGACAGGCTACGTCCCGGGGCTCTGGACATGCTCCCCCTCCTGCATCACCCCATTGTGCCTTCACTTGCATTCAGCATGATACCATGCCGAGTGCTCACTGGGGCTGCCACCCGCTCTCCTGCACACGCTCCATGGACAGAGGGGACAGTGGACCAATAGAAGGACCCGAGGGAACACAGGCAAAGAGGGCGTGACCAGGAAGTTGAGGAAGTGGGGGAAGCTAGGCAGCAATGAAGGCCGAGGGAAGAGCTGGTGATGGGGGCCCGAGTTGGGGGCGTGGGGAGCAGGCTGGCTCTAGAAAGCTGCAAGGTTTAATTTGTTTTAACATTTCATTGTGATTTGGATTAAAGTTGACAGAGAAAATTGGTTTTCATGAGCTGATGGCAGAGCAATGTCATTGCAGCAGCACTCTCCCACTCCCTCCCTGTGAGTCTTCTTTCCGCTCAGACTTCAGCCCTGTGAGGGCCCCTGATGCCGTAATGTGCGATGTCTTCACTTCTAATTGTAAAGTCAGCAGTTCAAATGCATCAGCTGCTCTGAGGGAGGAAGACGGACAGTCTCCTCCCGTGCAGTCATCACCTTGGGGATGTGGGTAGGTGGGGTTACTGGCAGTTGAACCACTTGATGACACTGGAGTTTTTTCCCTGACCTCTCCCTGCCTCCTGAGCTTTCTCCCAGGCAAATGCTGCCACTTTGACTTCATGTGCTTGATTGTTCCGAGGAGAGATTTTCCTGTGTGACTTAACACCTTATAGGCCTGCCTGTTGGTGGTGCAGCCTCAGAGAGACCTTCTGGAGGTCAGCTGTGTCAGGCCCAACCCGATGGCAGTGAGCATTGTTGTCAGGTGCCTATACGTCCAGTATGACCCCCAATGGCCCAGAGAACACCCTTGTCCTGTCCTCTGCCACTGACGTCATCTGTGACACACTTGGGCCCATTGCTGCGGTCACTGTGTCAGTCTACCTCGATGAGGGCCATCCTCTCTCCAACTGTCACCTTTCCATACACGACATCCTTCCCCAAGGACTTTTCCCGAAGTCTGTGGGACCAAGTTTCACTATCCTTGCCTCTACAGGGCACTTTCTCCAGGACGTATTTGTCCCTTCGGCAATCCAAGAGAAGGCTCGGTGTTTCTCTTCACACCATAACTCAGAGGCATTGAGTTTGCTTCTATCATTCTTATTTTATCCAACTCTCAGATGTGTAGCAAGTCATTGAAAAGAAAATGGCTTGGATCAGGTGCACCTTAATCCTTAAACTGATATCATTGCTCCTTAGTATTCTGGAGGAGCCCTTGACAGCTGACTTCTCCCCGATGCCGTCACTTTGATTTTTTTGACTGCTGGTACCAAGGGTGTTGATTGTGGATACAATTCAGATGAAGTCGTTGGCAACCTCAGTCCTCGCTCCATCTCTTGATGCTGCCTGCTGAGTGATTATGGGGCTGGAAGTTGAGCCGAGACCGTGAGTTCAATTCCAGGCTGGGAAGGCGTGAGGCCTCCCCTCTTGGGGAAGCACCACCAGTCCCTGTCAAACCAGGAAGCCTATGGTGTTTCTGTCATTGTGAGTCCTGTTCCACACTCACCTCCTCTCTGTCAGGGACCTTCCCCAGTGACCGCTTTCAGAGTGGCCAGCAGTGGTGGCCGGCACCGTCCAGCCCAGTGGCCTCAGTGGTGGAGCTTGAAGTGCAAGTGGTCCCTCAGTCTTCAGCCGCTTGTTGCCTTGTGCCTTTGATTGTCTTCACTTGAAAGCTGCAGCCTTGGAAAGGGCTTCTGTGGCCTCGCTGACCACAGTGGCCAGGATGACCGCAGCAGCCTTGCTGACCGTAGCAGGGAGCCCAGCACACAGCGTGTTGACCAGAACTTCCATGTCTCAGAAGCATCTCCAGATGCTGAGCTTTCCGGGCACTTCAGAGAGCTTGTGTGCAGCCTTGCTGAGATAAATGCCGTGCCCGTGCTTGGAAGCTAAGGTGGGGCTCACTCCCTGTTGGGCTGGGGTGGGAGGGTTAGCAGGGATGGAGGGACGGAGGGGGCGTAGAAATGAACAGATAGAGTAAGTGGATGAAGGGAAACCACGGTAAGAGATTGACTAAACATTGTCATTAGCTGATCACGCTAATCAATGGTAAAGTTATGAAACAAAACGTCTATTGATGGTTCAAATGAAAGAGCAATATGATATGTAAGCTTTCACTCAAATAGTAACATTGTGAAGAGAATGTGAAACTTGGAGTAGAACAGAGTGGTGAGGGGTTTCAGGGTGTCCCTGGAGGGGAGGGGCATGGGCCCTGGGGCTCACAGAGGACTCACGGGGCTCGTCACGGGGGGTCACAGGGCTCATCACGGGGTGTCATGGAGCTCGTCACGGGGTGTCACAGGGCTGGGGCTCACAGGGCAGGTGTTTGCTCTGTTATGCATGTGTTTAAAAAAAATGTTGAAGCCAGTATCTTGGGGGGGAGGTGTATGTGTGTTTGTGTGTACGTGTAGGTGTGGATATGTGTATAGTTTTGTACGTGTGTATGTGTGCGTGTGTGCATTTGCGTGTGTATGTCTTCTAAGCTGCATATTTTTCTGTTTGTTTGTTTTTTCACTTTAAAAAAATACTATTCCTTCTAAGAAAAGGGAAGATGTAGACTTGGTTTGGGGTATTTTTTTCTCCTCGAAGGGCCAGTCAGTGGATGTTCTCCAGGTGAAGTATGTCACTTGCCGCCTTGGGGGGTGACCTACGATGACCTTACCTTACAGATGAGAACACTGAGGTTTAGAGGGTTGAGGAAGTTTGTCCCAGGTCTGCAGACTAGTGGGCAGGAAAGCCAGGGTTTGAAAATGGACCGAGTGCTCCGGAGACTGAGTTCTTGGTCACCAGGCTCACTGCTCTGGTGCTTGGCAAGCTTCCTCACCCGAGAGCTGCCCAGCCTGGTCTGCAGACGGGTGGCACACTGTGTACCCCTGGGACGTGGAGGGCTGCCTGGACGGCCTGCTGCACCCTGGGAAGGCCAGGACTTGACGGGAAGAAGGTTCTGCTGATGTCCTGAACAAGTACCGGCAGGAGCCCAGGCCTGGCCCCACTCTGTGAGCCTTGGTGCATCTGTGGGGTGCCCGGCTGGGGGGCTCTTGCCTCAGTGGTGCCCCACTCTGACAGTCCTGTAGTCCCTCAGGCCTGAAGGGACAGGGTGAGCCTGCGGCTCTTGCCAGTCTCCGCCTGTACAAACCCCAGGGCCTGCTGGGCCCCGACACCCTGTGGGGGGTCCTTTGAACTCGGTCTCCAGAGACCCAAGTGTTCTTTCTTTATCATTTTGTCTGCCCTACAGGAGCTGGGAGGAGCCCGAGGGGCTGCCCAGGCAACCGCAGGGAGCAAGCCCAGGTTACAGAGGGCAAAGTGGAGGGTCAGTGAGAGAGAGGAAGACCTCTGGCCAGTCCCCTAGCGTGCTGGGAACAACAGTGACACTGGAGGGTTTTAACAGCAGAAGGTTATTCTCTCCCAGTTTAGGAGGCTGCAAGGCCAAGTTCAGGGTGGCAGCTCCAGTGGAAGGTTCTTTCTGTCAGTTGTGGAAGAAAGTCCTTGTCCCCCTCAGCCTCTGCAGAGCTGGTGTCCCCTGGAGACTCTGCGTGTTAGAGCCCAGGTCCCAGAGGACACACCCACTCCTGGTGATTACGGCTTGGTGGTACTGGGGTCTCTCAACCCCTCAGCTTGTTTTCCTCATCTTTTTTGGTCTCTGCTGAGATGAAAGATGTTTCAGACCACACCTGGGGAGTCCTCGATATCGAGGCAGCTGGGATGGGGTTAATGGCTGATATATTCTACCCCTAATCCTCCTACAACTTTGATTCCTCAGATCAGGGGGGGGCCATTATATCATATCATCAAATACATGCATTTTGGGGGACACAGTTCAATACCTGACAGTCCCCAGGGCTGACACAGTGGCTGCAATGAAGGACGGAGCAGGTCTGAGCAGGGCTTGTCCTGCTGTCCCTGGGGCAGCCTGGACGTGAGTTGGCCCAGCCGACTTCGCGGTGCTGTGGGAAGGTGTCTGAAGCATCGGCCAGTCCAGCATCTTCCTGTGACCCTGGCGGCACTCGTGCGGGCAACAGTCTCCACCATCGCTGCCCCACTTGTTCCGCTTCCAGGTTGGGAATCCCAGGTCCCCGAATCATGACGCCCTCCAGCCCCAGGGCCTGGTCACAGCTAATCGACTTTGGTCTCTCAGCATCTGCTTACCCTAGACAGTGCATGCAAGAGGAATCGTATGATGGTCAGTCACTTCTGCCTGCTTCTCTCTCCCTGAGTATCATGTTTCTGGGGGCCAGGCGATGGAAGCAGGTTCCAGGACTCCGTTCCTCTTCCTGTTCAAGTAGTACCCCATTGTGTGATGGTCCACCCTGAGTGCGTCACCTGCTGGTGGACACACAGGCTGGGTCCACTCTGTCACCTGCTGGTGGATACGCGGGCTGGGTCCACTCTGAGTGTCTCCGTCACCTGCTGGTGGACATGCGGGCTGGGTCCACTCTGTCTCTGTCACCTGCTGGTGGACACACGGGCTGGGTCCACTTTGTGTGTCTCCGTCACCTGCTGGTGGACACGCAGGCTGGCTCCACTCTGGCAGCTGTGAATGGCACTGCAGTGATAGGAGTATACATGGAGCTGTTTGAGTCCCTGCGTTCATTTCTTTGGGGATAGTCAGTAAAACCTTTGAAAGCTGGAACCTGTGTAAGGTAGGAACCTGTTGGAGAAGGAAAATGCAATCATTTTCCAGCACCGAGAGAGATGGAAGATTGGTAAGGCTGTACCTGTTGGAGAACTCACACGTGTGGATAGCATGGGAGTAGACAGTGTCGGGGCACCGAGTGGAGCAAGCCAGGGTACTTGGCTGTGTGCTTGGACACCGTGAAGTGAAGCAGGGAGGGGGACCTACCAGGCTGTTGAAGGAGGCTCTGGATGGGGTCTGCAGGGTGTGGACCAGGTGAGGGTCCCGTGCTGATCCTCCTCCTCCCTCCAGATGATGGTGCTCATGGACCCTGGGGAGGACTCTGAGGACCCACTGCGTCCCCACCGCTCCCGGGAGAAGACCTTCATATTCGACATGGTGTTTGACCAGCACGCCTCCCAGGTGCTGCTCTCCCCCCTGTCGGCCAGCCCAGCCACAGGATACCCCGAGCTCAGAGGCCCTCGAACACAGTTGGGAGCCCCGTGATCCCCTTTTTCTGCTAGGGCAGCTCCTGCAGATGCTGTCTGAGGGTGGGGTCCCCCGGGGTGCTCCTCCTGTGAGAGAAACTTCCTTTAGCAGCCTGTATGTCTTGTGGGGTTTGCTTGTTTTTCGGATGTTCAACTTCTGTTCCACGTCCCACGCACCCACTCTGTCCAGGACCCCTTCGGAGGGGTCAGCAGTGGTGGCTGGAGATGTCCTGGCTCAGGGTCATGGAGGCTGAGGTTCCAGTGGTCAGCTGTCTCCCGTGCTCTGTGAGGATCAGCTAGCCAGCCCCTGAGGTGGCGGCAGTCTCGTGCCTGCGGAAGGCCCCATCTTGCTGTCCTGGAGCTCTGCTGCGGCCAGGCCCACACTGGCCTCTCCTGGGGCTCAGGCCTCCACTCTGCACAGAAGCTCAGGGGCGTCCAGCTTCTCACGTGATGACGCAGAGTGCTGAGATAGTAAGGTGGCCAGGAGAGCCTGGACCTGGCTTTACTTCTGCTGGGCACTGGCCCAGGCTCCAGGGAAGAGGCGTTGGATGGGCATCCCCGAGAGGAGAGAGGCAGAGTCCATGGGCATCCTTCATCCTTCCCTGGCCCATCCCCGCCCTCATTGCATTCTGAATTCACACAAGTGAATTTCCAGACGCACACGTCACGGGCTTGCACAGTGCACTGTATTCCTCAATGGCATTAGGACGGTCGAGCTAGACATCACCACAGGGCCAAAGAGATCTGCTCAGGCTTGACAGTTCTCGAGATTTCTCTAGTTCCCTAAACTCCAGTCGAGCAGAGCTGAGCGGCATAGAGAGGAGATCAGCACTTACTGAGCAGCTCCTCCGTGCCAGGGAGTGTGTGCAGCACACTGTCCCGCAGTCCTTCCAGAATAGCGATCACATGGTCCCCAGGTGAGAAAACAGAGGCCAAAGGAGGTAGCTCCTTTTGCTTGAGGTCACAGAACCAGAGCTCAGTCTCAGACCATGCAAATGCAGAGTGGAGGGGAGCAGGGGAGCTTTGTGCTGAGATTCGGAGTCTTCCCAAGCAGGGTTCCAGGGCCGCCTCCACCCCTCTACTCTGTCTATCCAGCCAGGGGTGCTGGGAAGGTTCATAAAGGGCCCAGAGATGCAGTCAAAGTGGGGACTCTTCAGGCCCCAGCCTTTCTTGGCTTGAATGTTCCTGTAAACGGGGAGCTCACTTCCTCCCACCCTCATGGCTACATACAGGCGCACCTTGTTTTATTGAATTTCTCAGATACTGCTTTGCTTACAAACTGAAGGTTTGTGACAACCTTGTGTCAAGGAAGTCTTCCTTGTGGTGCCATTTCCCCAACAGCCTCATGTACCTGGCACTTTCTCCCAAAATGCTTTTTCACCACATGATTACACTCTATTGAGGGAGCTCTGGTGGCCTTGTGGGTAACAAGTTGTGCTGCCACCTCAAAGGCAGGCAGTTCAAATCCACCAGCTGCACCACAGGAGAATGAAGGGCAGTCTCTGCTGGGATTTACAGTCTATGAAAACCCCCTGGAGGTCAGCTGTGAGTTGGTTCTGACTTGATGGCACACAACAACAACGATGATGTATGGTGCCTGCCTGTCTGTCATCTGCTCTGGGAAACCCAAACAGCCGTGTGATGTGTGATGCGCTTCCTTGCAACCCTCCCTTGTGCAAGCTCTTTGCTGAACTGTGGCCTTCACTGCCTCATGGCTCTGGAACTAGACCCATGGGCCCCCCCAGATCTGCCTGTGTGACTGCCTGTTGGCAAACGCTGCTGGCCTGGAACGGCCACTCCCTGGTCTTGATTTTGTCTCCACACCCTGCTGCTGCCCCCTAGTCCTCTGCAGTTTTCTTGATTGTGCTCGATTCTTGGGGGAGCCCCCTGGAAAGGACTCATGTATGTGCTCGATTATTGGGGGAGCACCCACTGGAGAGGACTCACACGTGTTCTGGGCCTCGTGCATCTCACATGGTGAGAGCGGTCATGGAGAGTCTACCTCGGTCCCATCTCCAGTCTACCTTGTGCCGCTGGGCCTGCCCTGCCCATTCCACAGATACCCATGGGGAGGCTCGGCACAGCGAGGCAGCCGGCCAAGGTCACAGAGCCATGAGGCCCCTTGATGGGTGGCCTGGGAGGAGCCAACATGTGAGCTGTTTCTCGATGCCCTTTTCAGGCCCACGTGCCCTGAGCTGTTCAGAGAGAAGGGAACACGTGCAGAGCCCACCCCCTTACCCTTACCCGCCTGCTGGCTCCTGACTCCCTGGGCTGTCCCATGATTCTCCTTTGTCTGTCTGCAGGAAGATGTGTACCGTGCCACCACCCAGCACTTGGTGAAGGGTGTCGTTTCTGGGTACAATGCCACTGTGTTTGCCTATGGCCCTTCAGGTACGTCTGCTGAGGGCTGGGTCCCTGGAGCGGGGGTGGGGTAGAGTGGCAGGAACTTGTCCTGCTGTGTGCTGGCCCAGTGCCGGCCCTGTTCCTCTCGCCTTTCTGGACCAGCCAACCCAGAGAGCCAGCCAGCTCTACTCTACCTCATAGGTGGGGAAACTGAGGCCAGGGGGTAAAACGCCTCCCCACGTGGTCATCAGCTGGTGGGGTGGTGGCAGACGCGGCTAAAGGGAAGCTTAGCTATGAGAACCTCCTGGCTGCCCACAGGAGAAAAACATAGCTGTTTGTAAAATTTACAGCCTTAGATACAGTGTGGTGTCTGAGCCAGCTCTGGGGGCCCCACTTCCCTAGTGTGGTGTCTGAGCCAACTCTGGGGGCCCCTCCTCCCCCTGCAGGGGCTGGGAAGACCTACACCATGCTGGGCATGGACGCAGAGCCTGGCATCTACCTGCAGACGCTCACTGACCTCTTCCAGGCCCTTGAGGAGACCAGCGACAATATGGACTACAGCGTGTCCATGTCCTACCTCGAGGTGAGCCTGCCTCCCCTCCATTTGCTTATCTGCAAAATGGGTGTGATTTTGGTCTAAGTGACACTTTTAAGGCCTCAGCACCACATATCAAACCCAGTGGTCTGCTGACCGTGTAGCAAGCCTCTGTCCACCCTTCAAGGCTCTGAGGGTTCTCTGGAAGCTTTGAAGTCCCTACACTCATTTTTGCACCAAGCTGCTCTGCCTCCAGCTCTTATGTTGTGCTCTAGATTTATAACGAGGTGATCCGGGACCTCCTGAATCCTTCCTTGGGCTTTCTGGACCTGCGGGAAGATTCTCGTGGCAGCATCCAGATTGCAGGCATCACAGAGGTGTCTACTTCAAACGCCCAGGAGGTGAGAGGCAGGGGCTGGTGAGGGAAGCATGGCTCAGGTCTCCACAGCTACAGACAGCGGTGTTTGTAATGTCCTTCCTATTTAGGCCCTCAGATAGACTTATAACCCTGGAGCTTCTTCCAAGGCCAGCTCCCATCTCTTCCCTGCTAGACTATGCTCAGGGCAGACATTACTGAAGAATAAACACACCCTCTCCACCCTCTCATTCTCCTGTCTGCTGTGCTGCACACAGGGCAGGCATCACTGATAGAAAACCCACCTATCTACCTAGGCTGTACTTGTGGGAGCAGACATCACTAATAGATCACCTACCCTGTCAACCCTCACTCCCTTACAGCTGGATCTGCATGGCCAAGTGTGGGGAGGTGGTGGGAACGCAGGATCTGTTGGTGATGTCTGTGGAGTCCAGGTGTTGCCTCTGCTGGACAATGGCTCTCTGAATTCACCCCTGAGGGCCACCATGTGTAGCTGAACTTGGCCCTGCTGTGAGCAGCCTGAATTCACTGTCCGTCTCTGCCCGCTGTCTCTGGGGGGCATGCAAACACTGACCTCACCTCTGTCCTCAGATCATGCAGCTGCTGACCAAGGGCAACCGAGAGCGCACGCAGGAGCCCACGGCCACTAACCGGACGTCGTCGCGCTCCCACGCCGTGCTGCAGGTCACTGTGCGCCAGCGGAGCCGCGACTCGGAGCTCACAGAGGCCACACACATCGGCCGGCTCTTCATGGTGGACCTGGCCGGCTCGGAGCGGGCCTCACAGGTACCCGAGTTCCCGTATGCCCCTGCCCTTCCATAGCGGGCTTCCTCTGAAAAACAGAACTTCCTATTGTGGTGTGGGTGAACGCTTTGTGAGCAGATTGGTTTTTCACGGAACAATTTGCTCACATTTTATTTTCCTGCCACTGACCAGAAGCCATGCAGAGGCAGCACCCTTCCCACTCCCTCCTTCTGGCTCTCGTCTCCACCCACCCATCTAGCCTTTTCGTTCTGCTTTCTGAGCTTACCACCAAGCCCAGCCCTCCACTGTCGCTCCTGGCGCGGCAGCCCTGCAGTGGGTTTCCAGGCTGTAAATCCAGTGGACGGAAATCGCACTTATTTCTCCCTTGGAGCCACTACTGCTGTAACAGAAATCCCACGAATGGGTGGCTTAAAACCGGGACGTGTTCTCTCACCATTAGGAGGCTGTTAATGCTGTTGTTAGTGCCGTCAGGCGAACCCGCACTAGTGGTTCTGTGCACAGCAGAGCAGGGCCCTGCCTCGTCCTGTCCACCTCACGGTCATCTGCTCCGAAACCCGTTGGTGCAGACCTTCCTCGCCTTCTCCAACCCTCCACTCTCCTGGGCCTGGAAATCTGCAGGGACTGGCCTCTCGACTCTCCCTGCTTCCAAGGAGCTGCCCTTCTTCCAGGACTTGTCCTTTGGGCAGTCCAGGCCGCCACGGTCTCTCTGCAGCACCACAGCTCACAGGCGGCCGTTCTTCAGTCTATTCACCACCCACCTTCCACATGCACAGGGAACAGTGGACAAGGCCATGGCTTGAGTCAGGAGTGCCTCGCCTTTAAACTGACACCATTAATCGCTGGTCCTTTAAAAAGTACGTAGCGAGACAGGAAACAAAAGCAATACAGACCATCAACAAAACCAGGAGCTGATGTTTTGAAAGTGTTAATATTGACAAACCATTGGTGAACTTAACAAAGTAAAAAAAAAAAAAAGGAAAAGACACTAATAACTCAATTAATGATGTGACATCACAACAGAACCAGAGGAAATTATACTATTATTGTCTGATAAAGTTGAAAACTTAGAGGAAATGGACACATTCCTTGAAGCTCTTAATATTTTTCCATTTATCATGTTATTTGTTGATCCAGTATGAGGATTTTTGCTTTCTTCACGTTGAAGTGTAATCCATATTGAAGGTCTTTGATGTTCTTCAGTGCTTCAAGTCCGCTTCACGTTCAGCGAGCGAGGCTATGTGATCTCATAGTGCAGGGCGTTGGGGAGGCTTCCTCTGGTCCTGATGCCACACTCCTCTTGACGCAGTCACTTCGTGAACTGCTTGCTCGGTGTGCAGAGTGAACAGGTGTGCTGAAAGACCACAGGCCTGATGCACCCCTCCTGCCTGTAAAGCACACAGTGACTCTTTCCCCACCTGAATGACGGCTGTGTGAGCACCACTGCGTGTTCTGGGATTCCCATTCTTCGCAGTTGTTGCCTTGAATTGACTATGCCTCACGTGTTGAATGTCTTTGCAGTCCTTTAAACACAAGTAAGCATCTTTAGGAGACTAGCAGTCCAGCCCCGGGCGCCAGCTGCGGAGCTCGCCCTCTCTGCGGGCCCTGTGGCAAGGGCTGTGTCCTTTCAGCATCTGCTCTGGGCTGTCTCTGAACCGCCTGGCATCTCTCTGCCCTCGCCTCAGCTCATGCCGCTGCTCAAGGTCGGTGTGCGAGGGCGTGGCCACCGCACCCGCAGACCTGTCTGCTCCCCCCACTCCCCCAGTCCAGAAAGGGGCCTTCAGAGAGGCCGTGGGGCCAGGACAGCCAATCCTAGCCCCTGCATGCCTCAGTTTCTCCAAAGAGACTAAATCACCGTACACATATATCTGACTCATTAACACAAATCCAACCCTTTCAAAAAACTAAACCCACTGCTCTCAGTCAACTTTGACTCAGAGCAAAACTTTGCCTCTGATTTTCAAGGCTTTAAATCTTTAAGGAGGAGACTGTCCGTCTTTCTCCAGTGGACGGGACAGCTGATGGAGTCAAACGACTGACCCTTCAGTTTCCAGCCATGCCCCAACACGGCTCCTTGGCCAAGGGCACAGAGGTTACTGTTCACAGCAGTGTGTATCTGGGGTCACAGTACAGCCCCAGTACTTAGCATAACCAGCTCACCCAAAGCCTGAATCCCTGGGGACCAGGCTGCAGTGGGGTCATTTCTCCCTAGTGTCCATTCTGCTCTGGTGTCCTCTGCTGTGACACAGGACATGAGTTGGGTGGGGGCCTGGGGCACCAGGTAGACAATGCCCAGCTTACGCCGCCCCTTCCTGCTCAGACCCAGAACCGAGGCAAAAGGATGAAGGAGGGTGCACACATCAACCGCTCGCTGCTGGCCCTGGGCAACTGCATCAACGCGCTGAGCGAGAAGGGCGAGAAGGGCGGCCGCGCACAGTATGTCAACTTCCGGGACAGCAAGCTCACTCGGCTGCTCAAGGTCGGTGTGTGAGGGTGTGGCCACCACACCGGCAGACCTGTCTGCTCCCTCCTCTCCCCCAGTCCAGAAAGGGCCCTTCAGTGAGGCCGTGGGGCCAGGACAGCCAATTCTAGCCCCTGTGTGCCTCCCGTGCCCCTTCACTCTGAGTCTGGTCCAGTCTGTGCTTGCATAACCCCAGCAACAGGGATCTCACTACCGCTTCAAGCCTGCCTGTGCCCTCCTGGGCCTCTCTGCCATCTTCCTGACATTGGGCCTAACACACACTTGGTGCCCATTGCCCTTGTGTGGATTCTGACTCACATGCTTTCCGAGGCTGGGCAGCTCTGTGGAAGCGGAGTGCCAGATTTTCCTCTCTTAGAGCAGCTGGTGGATTCAAAAGCAAAATCTCAGACCACTGCTGGTGAGCCACGCCTGGCTCTGTGCCCCTCCGTCACATCTCCCAGGCCGGCCGGGTTTATTTTATTTGAGTGAATGTGAACTTGATTCCATCATTCATAGACATTTTGTCTTCTAACAGTAATTACAATTTGTTAATGTAATTAGTTAACTGTAATGTCTAATCAAAGAATAGATTGTTAAGAAAGGAGTCTACCATCTTTCATCCACAGAGCAGCTGGTGGATTTGAACTGCTAATCTCTTGGTTTACTAGCCCAACGCATAATACCACCAGAGCTCCTTACAGGAAAGCCAGCCAAAAGCAAACCCACTGTCACTGCCCACCGGGGCTTTCTGGCCTGTAAATACTATTGGAGGAAGCTGCCCATCCTTCTCCTGTGGAGGGAGCAGCTGGTAGCTTTGAACTGCCAACCTTTTGGCCAGCAGCCTGACTCCCTATATATTGCATAAACCCAGAGGCAAATCAGTAAGGCCCAGTGACTGGAACCTGTCAGCCTGGCCTCTCGTCTGGAGAGCACCATGGATCACCCCAAGAGGCCTGCATCCTTGGTCCTCTGCACCTACTGCCCTTTCCAGGGCTTGGCCGTGCTGGTGCACACCTGTCCACTGGTAGATGAAGGTGGGTGGGCGTGCACCCTCTTCACCCCCACTTCCCGAACAGGATGCCCTGGGAGGAAACAGCAGGACCGTGATGATAGCTCACATCAGCCCCGCCAGCACGCACTTCGAGGAGTCCAGGACCACACTGCTCTACGCCTACAGAGCCAAGAACATCAAGACCAGGGTAGGCCCCTCACCGTGGCCCTTCCCAGCTGCACATGGACTCCACGTTCCAGAAATACGCTCTCCCGGGGGTCTGGAGCCCACGGGCCCACAGGCCACACTCCCTGTGCTGGCCCCGGGGAGGCACCCTCCGCCGTGCTCCCTGTGCCGGCCC